AACATCAGATTTATTATAAGGAACCATAATTGATAATCAGGAAAAATAATTTATTTTGTGAACCCTAGAGATCTGGGTAGACAGGCATTATTAAAGCTTCATTTATGCATGGCCTTGGTATCATTACTGCTTGGGTGATGCAATTGTTTGTTATGCCAATGATTATATCAAATACATTGAATAATAATCATGACCATTGTGAATATTTGTTGGATGGAGGCATTCATATACAAGGAAATGATTAAATAGCTAAGTCATGTTTGTTTTATTAAAGACATATGATTAATTGTATTTAAAATATACAATAAAAAAATTGCAAGACTGCACCACTATGCCAATCAAACTATCAGGCTGTTATGTTTGTGCATGTTTTTAAAATTCTTTTGTGCTAATTTAGGGTCCCATCTTTCTTTGCTTACATATAATCTATTGGTTCTCTTTTTACTGGTCAAATGATGCCAAATTGGGTAAATATTAGAATCTGATATCTGATCAATATTCTTTAAAAAATAATTATGTTACTGGCATGATTAAGAAAATAACAACAAGGATTATATAAAAAAATAAATAATCTAGATCTTCAGTCTTTTATCCATTAGAAAAATTACCTCGTTTTTTTTTGTTACTTGTTTTTAAAACATTAATATAGAACAAGGAAGTTTAAATGATAATTATGATACATTTTCAAATTAGCTGTTGGATTAGACTATCACAATGTCAGAATATGACACTAGAATAATAGAAATATGTGATAAAAAAATGGACACTGAAAATTCTTTAGTTGAAAAAGCTTAAAAAATATATATTAAATTATTTAAACATTAAATAAAATTTACATATTATTATACATAAAAATAATAAATTTATAAATAATTTATCGAGAAGTTAACTGTGCAATATAAGCATCTAAATCTTGTGAAGAAATAGGATCAGTACATTTGTTTCTTATTTCCCTATTGTAACAAATAAATGAATGAATATAATTATAAATTAGATAAATATTTAATAACAACAATCTGAGGAAGCATAAAAAAGTGATAATTATCTTATACTTACTGAAGTAATTGAACATCTTTCAAAGTCAGGGCTTCTTGGCCTGCAGCTTTAAAGTCACCAATTTTAATATATAAACCTGGTCTTACAGCTGGGTCACATCTTTGTATATATTTAGAAGCTTCTCGATGTTGCATTGCTTTGATACATTCCTCAACAAATGGCTACATTTATAGTAACCAAATAATTAAAAACAAGTTAAATAATATTTAATTGTAAGAAATAACAAATTTATAAATATTTACCTCATAACCAATAGGAGACTTTTTTGATTTTGACAATTTATCTAATTCCTCCCAACCTCTCATTTCCACCAAAGCCTTTAATTTAATCCACCAAAACCTTTTATCAGGTATTTTAAAATCTGACTTGAGCTTACTTGCTTTATTGTGATTATTAGTAATAATGCATTTATGAACAGTCTCGCTTAGAGATAAATCAACAAATGGTTGATTTATATCCTTTTCTAATTGTATTTGAGTTTGCAATAATCTTATATATTCATCAATAGCCTAAAAATAGCGGAGAATGATCAAACATATAAAAACCTTTTTTTTAATTTATATATTATGATAAAGGTTATGATTTGTTTCTGTACCTTTGCTTCAAATGAACGTTCTTTCTCTTCGTGAAAATATTTCTGTGATAATTTTAATTTATTTATTCTTTCAACAATCTCCTAAATATAATAAACCAGCCATTTTTAATAAATGAAAAAATCATCCATTTTGATTTAAAAAATGAAAAATTATTATTGACCTTTTGTTCATAACTTTCTATAATAAAAATACTAGCATGTTCCACTCGACGATCATCTTGTAAATAGAAATCATCCAAGGTTTTATAATCTTGTTGTTGTTTGCAATAAACTTCGAATAAATTACATGCCATAGGTTTATTATTAATTATTCTAAAAAATTCCCCTCCCTTAAGTTTTCGTTTAAGATGAAATATTACTAAATAAACTAAACATACATAAAATATTATTGTTGTTAGTTAACAACGATAACAATGTCAATAACAATAATAGCATCTTCTGAATCATAAAGAAATAAATTATTGTTGTTGCTATAATTTTCACTAACCTAAATCAGTATCGCCACTTTCAATTGCTTTAATTAATGCTAATTCGTCCTCTTGTAGACTTGTAAGCAATGGAACTTGGTCAGCAGCACGAGGTTCATAATCAAGTAACTATATAAATTTTTTAATAATATAAATAAGTCAGTTTTTTATAAAGAATATTTAAAAAAATATTTGATTAACCTTTGCTGCTAATTTTGGCTGGCCGACTTTATGTGCAGTCTTTGCAATATCTGCATATGATAAACCTGGTTTATTTGCCAATTTTTCAACAATCATACGACAAATTGTTTCTTCATCATCTCTCGATTTCTTAATCTAAATAAAAAAAAAGAACCACCTAATTAAACAACAAAATATATTTATAATTATGTTGATAATTGTATATATTCTAAATTTACTTTTGCACAAGCCCAATGAACAAGCACTCTATCAGATCTCATTTTTAAATATTCACAAATACGTAATGCTAATAAATGATGATGTCGATTGTTCAGTATATCAATCAGAAAATCAGGTGCAATTCGTGTGTATCTTTTTTTTTAAAAAAATTATTAACATATATATAAATATGTAAAATCATTCAAAAAACCAATCAATAATTACTGTGCGTATGTTACAGGAATTCCGATTTCATAGTAACGAACTGCATTCAACACTCGTAAAGTTTGACACATATTTACAAATTTGTCAGCATTGTACGATTCCATAAATGTTTTGCCAAATGCTGCAGCTTTAAGCAAACTTTTTTGCCAATATTGATTAAGTTCATACCCCGCTGCCTCAATACATGCATCAACAGCATCAGCTAGTGCTGGTCGTATGGCTCTAATGTTTTCATCTGCCTTTGGACTAGATTTCTATGTATATACATGTATGTGAATTAAAAAAAAAATCACAAAATTTTCTTTAATAAATAAAATCCATGACATGTATTTTACTTCAAAATGATCTAAAGCGTCAAATAACATAGCAGCAGGTGCAGTAGATCCAATTCCAAAAATTTCTTCAATAACATCTTCATAAATAAATAAGTGGTGAGTGAATGTTTTTAAAAATAAACAAATATAATAAATATTAATTAAATATTATATTTAAATATAAGACATACTTGGAACTTTTTGTAAAAATTCACACTTGTCACTACTTATCACACGAATTCCATCGATTTCTGGAATAAGATAAATAGCATCCTCATAAGAATATTTAATCCAATCACCAAGTGGACCAACCATCAAAACAATTGTATCCCAATATAAAACGACAGAATCTGCACCGCACCTAAATGATAAATGTTCATAAGTAACAAAAATTCAATTAACAATATAACAAATGCCTTAAGAAAAAAAATACTCTACCAAACCAATTGTTGAGGAGAGACCTGAGATTTGGTGGAGAATTCGGTTAAATTTTTTTGAAAATCAGTGGATACAACCCAAAGTTTGCCATCGGCTGTGAAAAGAGCAAGGTATTTGCCATTTGGTGATACTGCCATTTTGGTAAAAGGGCCTTTTTGAAGTAACTATTGGAAAGGAAAAATCAGTTGAAATAATTGTATAATGAATTATGAACTATAACAAATAGGTGTAAATCAATCAATATGTACTTGATCCTGAGCTTCTTTGGCATCTACAGTTAATATAGTGGCACCAGTTGCTAACAATACCTCCACATGGCGACTCAAAGAGTATTGTGGCTGTATCACTGTCCAACTATGAGGTGGTTCATTAAGACCTTTAAATATTCATAATTACTTAAATTAATACAAATATATATATATATATATATACAAACATATATTGTAAATGTAATTATATAGTAATTATATTACATGCCTGGATCTGCCATAAGTTTTGGTCTTGGCTCTACAAAATTTGTAAGTTCTATAAGCTTGAAATTTCCTGTTAAAGCTACTAATCCTGTCCCCCATATTTGACAATCAATAACAGAATGATCTTTTGCTTCCTATCGTAATAATAATAATAGAACATATACACACGTATATAAAATAAACTCCTTAAATTATTTTATTATTTTGTTTTTAATTAATTAATAAAATGAAACCCACTTTTCCAAGTGAACATTGTGTATATTCTCCATGAATATCATATAATCTAACTGTACCATCCTCCAACACCACAATCAACTGCTCCCTATCAGTCCAGCCCATCGAAATAATTCTACCTTTGTCCCACTAATTTATAAGTTTTTCAACCAATGAAATTTTGGAATCCATTGATTAAAATAAAAACGAATTTAACGAATTTATCCGAAGTAATCAAATAATTATTAAATAAACTTGACAATTGGGTGGTTTATTATTACTTGTAATTGTTCCATTAATTTTCCTGCAGAAGTGTATAAATATATCGTAGGCTTTACTGGTTGTTGCTTTTCTAATAATATAACTTTTTTATCGTCGCGTATCATTGCTAAGTAATAATTAAAAAATATCATTTATTACGGTGAATTCAAAAAACATCACCGTCATATAATTTAAAAAATGTATTTATTACCTATCGGACCTCCATATGGAGCACCTGCTATCATATATTTTGATAGATCCATACGCTTCCACAACATTGTGTAAATTTCTTGTTTTCTATCGAGGAATTAAAAAGTAATTTTAATTATCGTAAATTGTTGAAATTTCTACAGATTAATTAATGCTGCCACTAACCTATAAAAGCGATCCTGAAGTTGGGTCCACTCGGTAGTTGGATGAGCCACCATGTTTCTGTTGTGTGTATATTTTTTAAAGTAGAATTTTTAAATGCTTTTAAAAGTTTATAATACTAAAATGTAACATCTAGTGTAACTGTGTAGTGAATTCCTTCTCTGAGAAAATTAATTTAGGATAAAAAATGTCTTTAATTGAAGACTACATTGAAAATACAAATGAACCCTCAAATCCATATTATGCTACGAATTCTGGAAGTTTTTTTCCAGAATCTTTAGGATTTGAGCCCGTTATGGTTTGTCTTTTTATTTTATTTTATTTTTATTAGTTAGTAAAACTTTCTAAATATAAATTGGTTGATTTAGTTGGAAGGATTTGTTACTACTGGTTTAGCTGAGGAATCTTCAAATGTTTTTACATTGGATCGTGTTCAATTTCAATTTCCGGCATCTTTAGTAGCAATGGCAGTATCTAATGAAATTCTTATAATGGCTTTAGAGACTAACCATATATTGAGAATAGATTTACAACAAGCACACGACGTAGAGGGTAATTAATTTGGATATATTTCCCTTCAAATATATATATAAAAAAAAACCAGATTTGAACCATTATTTTGTTTTTAAAGATATTGAAATTCCAAAGAAACCCGGTGAATTAAAAATCTACAAGATATTTTTTGATCCAACTGGAAGACATTTACTTATTACAACTGAACAGGGAGAAAACTTTTATTTATTTGTTGAGAAATGGAAAAAAGCCAAAGCACTTACCAAATTTAAAGTTAGTTATTTATATACATGAATCTGAATTATTTATTATCAATGATAATTATTTCACCATTAATTATTAAAATCATTGTTGTTATTATTAGGGAATAATAATTGAATCAGTTGGTTGGAATAAATTCACAGTAACGCCAACAGATACTTCCACAAAAAAGATTTTGATTGGAAGTCGTAATGGATTAATTTATGAAGCAGAGATTGAACCAACTGAAGAGTTTTTTAAGAAAGAAGAGAAATATTGTAAACAAGTTAATATGCATTTACTATTATTACTAATAATGACAATACTGTTAATATTATTCAGGATACTATTAAATCAAAAAAATATTGTTTATATGTAGATTTATTCAATTAACGAAAATTTGCCAATTACTGGACTGCGTTTTGAACAATTTCCCGGTATACCACGTAAATATTTTGTGGTAGCCACAACACCCACAAGAATTTATCAATTTATTGGTAATGCAAATCCTAGTGCAGATATTGATAGTGGTGCAATGTTTGAAAGTTTATTCTCTAAATATGAATCTAATCCTGGTAAATGAATATAAGTTTTATTGTTTGAATTCATTTTCAAAAAATATTTACGATTAATTTTTTTATAGGATTCCAGGAACTTCCTGGTGATCTACCATACAGCGAATTACATTTTTTTGCACCATATAATGATCAAGGATCTGCTAAAACCTTTGCATGGTTGACAGGTTGTTTTCAAAAATTCAAATTACCATTTCTAGATGAAATTGGGCATTACTTTATTTTTTCTTTGCGAGATTCCAATTATAGATAACTTATCAGTTACTTAATTTATTAAAATAGGACCTGGTATATATCATGGTAATCTTGTTTTTGGGTCACAAGATGTTGGTGATAGTGTAATTGACGTTGCACAATTATTACCGTAAGCAACGTTTATTTGATTTCTTCAATTATTCCTCCCCCTCCCGGTGGAATAATAGTAATCATTGTTTTTTTACGTGTTCTATTAGTTATCCAGCAACACCATCTGAAAATGATCCAAATTCAGTAGTATCAGAGATTCCATTATCCATTGCTCTAACCGAATTCCATTTTATAATGTTATACCAGGAACGTATAAGAGCAATATGTCAATTAAATGATGCAATAGTTTATGATGAAATCATTCCACTTGTAAGTTAGAATATTTCGCCAAGTTGAAATTTATTTTTGAGTGTGGTGTGTGTTTATTGTTCTTATAAATGTGGTAATTTTTAAAAACCACATATTTATAAATTTATAGAAAGCAGGTGAACAAGTTCGTACAATGACAGTGGATACTGTTAAAAACACTTTTTGGGTTTATACAGATTCATCGATATTTGAACTTATTATAAATAAAGAGGATAGAGATGTATGGAAATTATATTTGGAAAAACAAAAGTTTGATATAGCATTGAAATACTGTAAGGTAAATATTAACACAAAGATGACTGGAGAAAAATGATGACTGGGAAAATATGATTTTGAAGTTTAATTGTTAATGATGTTTGATATTAAAATAAAACAGAATCAAGCTCAATGCGACAAAGTTTTAACTACACAAGCAGATTATTATTTCTCGCAAGGACGATTCACACAATCCGCCAATTATTATGCCCAATCTACTGTGCCATTTGAAGAGGTGGCACTTAAATTTGTTGAACGTGATCAAAGAGATGCTTTAAGAACTTATTTATTGAATAAACTGAATAAGTTAAGACGAACGGTAATCCCATTAAACATACTTGCTTATATAACTTATAAATATAATTAACACTGATGCTAATCATTATTATTATTGTCATTATTACTGTTATTTTAATTTAGGATCTGACTCAAAAAACAATGATTTCAACTTGGCTTGTTGAAATATATTTAAACAAGCTTAATATGCTAGAAGATTCTTCAACCTTATCAAGTGTTGGATCTGAGGATGTCAACGATTATAAGGAGGATCTAAAATTTTTAGAGGAAGATTTCAGAGAATTTCTTGAACAAAATAAAGTAAAAAAAAATATCAATAACAATTAATAATCAACAATTTAAATAAATGTATGATATTAAATAAACTAATATTTGAAATTTTTATATAGTCACACTTGGATCGACCTACAACATATAATCTTATTGCTAGTCATGGACGCGTGAAAGAATTGCTTTTCTATGCTACTTTAATAGGTGATTATGAAAAAGTCATTTCACATTGGATTTATGAATCTGATTATAAACAAGCTTTAGATGTGTTGAGTAAAGAGGTATTTTGATAAAATAAATATTTTCCAAATATTTTAAAAAATAACCCAAATCTAAATTTTTTTTTTTGTTTACGTTAAAGGCTTCTAATGATACATTCTATAAATTTGCACCGATATTAATGGAACATGCACCATATGAAACTGTTAATGTCTGGATGCGACAACCAAATCTTAATCCAAGAAATCTAATGCCAGCATTATTGAAATATGATCACTCAAATGCACCAGAAAATGTCACACAAGTTGGTTATTAATTTTTTAGTTGGTATCTACAAATTTTTTTTTCTAGCTATTATTTAAAAAAAAAAAAATTTTTTTTGACCCCTATTTAGAACCAAGCTATAAGATATTTACAATATGTGGTACAGCAACAAAATAATACTGATCCTGCGATTCACAATTTTCTGTTAACACTTTACGCCACACAGCCAACTCGTGATGAAGCTGCTTTATTACAATTTTTGGCAACAGAGGTGATAATCAATATTAATATTAATATGAATTAAAATTAAATTCAATATAAATAATATAATTATATGTAATTGTTAGGGAAAAGAACCATACTACAATATGGATTATGCATTAAGGCTTTGTAGTCAAAATGGAAGAATGCAAAGTTGTGTGCATATTTATAGAAATATGAAACTTTATGAAGAAGCAGTTGATCTGGCATTAAAGGTGTGAATGGATTTATGTTGTAGTTAAAATCGGAATCGGATAGATATGAATTAAACAAGAAATAATTTTTTTAGGATAATGATTTGGAACTTGCTGCAATCAATGCTGAAAAACCAGAAGGAGACGAAGAATTAAGGAAAAAACTTTGGCTAAAAATAGCTAGACATGTAGTAGAGAAAAAACGAGATATAAAAACGTAAATATTTTTTTTTTACCAAGACAGCGATATTAATAATTTAGATTAGTATGCTATTTAATATCTATTTTAAACCATACATACATTTATTTAATTATATTAAATTTGCTGTATAGTGCAATGAACTATCTACAAAATAGTGATATACTTAAGATCGAAGATATATTACCGTTCTTTCCCGATTTTGTTCTTATTGATGATTTTAAGGTATTTTAATTGATTATTATTTATTGTCATTATTATAATTAAAATAAATAATAATGATTTCAATTTATAATAGAGTGAAATATGTTCGGCACTTAAAAAATATAATGCAAATATTGAGGAATTAAAAAGAGATATGGATGAAGCAACTAAAAGTGCCGAAGGTATTAGATTAGATATACGAGAATTACGATGTCGGTATGTCTAAAATATATTATTTATTTATAAATTTTTTTTTGGCATTTTATTTTTTCTTTTATTTTTATTGAATCAAATTTTATTTATATATAAAGATTTGCAGTTGTATCAACGGCAGAAAAATGTTCACTGTGCGATTATCCATTATTAACAAGACAATTCTATATATTTCCATGTCAACATGCTTTTCATGCAGACTGTCTAATAAACAAAGTAATTAATTAATTAGCCATTATTGTTAATTTAATTAGTATTACTATTGTTGAATTTTGTATTTATTTATTTTTAGGCGGAAAAACATCTTAATGCACGTCAATTACAAAGAGTTTTAAAATTACAAGAACTAATAGCCAAAGAAATATCAAAACCATCACAAGATGTAGTAGCACATGTAAAACCAACTACTGCAACAGGAGGTCTGGATCGAATAAAAGGTTTGATATTACCAGAAACTACAGCTCACACTGGAGACGACGTTGCAGTTGTTGTGCCTAAGGTAGATCAATTAAAGGATGAATTAGATGATTTGGTTGCATCGGAATGTATTCTTTGTGGTGATCTAATGATTAAAACAATCGAGCAACCTTTTATTAATGGAGAAGAAGGCGATTTGCTTGCGTCTTGGGCCATTTAAAAAATATTTATTTCCTTGAATGTTTCCAAAGAAAAAAATCTTCATCTTATTATAATTTATTATGTATATTTTAGGATGGGTTATTAAACAATATTAATATATTAATTTTTATTTAATAAACGGCAAAACAAATAATTTATTTTTTTTCGTAACTATATAACATGGGGCATACTGCCTACTTTTTCATTTTTTCACCTTCACTTGATTGTTCTGGTTTAATTTGATTTGTTGAATTTCACTTTCTAATTTTCGAGTTTGGACTACATTTTGTTCCTAAATTAATTCAGGCTTCTACTTTTCTAATTCAATATAACTTTATACTGAAGCTACCGGATAAGTATTCGCTGTTCAAGATTATTTTCTTTATCTTCGTTTAAATATTTTAGTTGTCGTTTTAATTGAACAATATCATCCTCTAGTTGCTGATTATTTCTCAAATGTTGAAAGAATAGGAAATATCAATTATAGAAAGGTGGCCAAGTCAGTTTTCTGGCCTAAATCCAATTAAATTAATTAGAGGTTCGTTTTCGAAAAAAATACTAAATTAGTAAAAAATTTAAAGGAATTAGAGACATTTTTAATTGAAGATGTTTACTTGAAATTAGTTGAAGACATGTCCCCCGCAAAATCGAGACATATTAATTGCAAGCATTAAATTTAATGTTTGCCGTTTAACATTTTAATTAATAATAAAAATCAACATTTTTATCGTCATTGTCATCTTTTTTACTCTTCACCCCTTTACTCTTTTCCATATTAACACATTTTTGAATTTTTATTGTTTTTTTCTAGGTTTGTTTTTCGTGAAAGTGGCAATCCTGCAGATATTAAATGAAAAATCCGAGTCTTATTTATCAATAAGCGTTTAAAAATTTTCAGCCTTTTCAATTATTTTTTTTTACTGATGATTAGCTTACTTGTTTATGTTTTTTCGAGCTCTAGTGATTCATTATTTCACCAATTCTTTGGTTTATAAGTTCCTGTAAGTTTTATAACAAAGAGAAAAGCCCCAATAAACATTTCGTAAAAAATAATTTAGGATTATTGTTGATTTATACAAAGATTTGAATGTGCGAGATTCATGCTCAATATAGTAAAGTGTATTCAATATGACAATGATTATTAATTAATATATTTTTTGTTCTCTGCTTAATTTCAATGTCAGGCTGAGAGTAGTTAGTTTATTATAATCTCGGTTCGCTTCATTTTTTTCTGAATTCAAATTAATTTTCTCGTCATCCATTAAAGTAATAATGATTTCGGCCCAAAGGAGGGAGACCAGTTCAAAACTTTCAGAGAACCCTCATCTTCTATTGTTTGACAGATTTTTTTATGTATTCTCCCCCAATTTTCCCATTATAGTCATTAAATTCGATTTTAACTTGACAATTTTGCTAATTCCTTTAAATGATGTGATCAGTCATATTGTAAATAGTTTTGTGGTTCATTCGAAGTAAATGTTGTAATAAAAATAGTGATGTCAGCAGGCTAAGGTTTTTTCAACAGCCGATATCACTAAATATAACCCGAAGAATTTGTAAGCATCAAAGCAAAAATAGGATCAAACATTACATACAGAGATCATAAAAAATTTCCAAAATTTATTTGTAAATATAAACTGAAATTAAAACCTGGTGGAAACAATTAAAGATCCGCTGCGCATTCGGTTCAACGAAAAAATTTTTTTTTTGAAAGTTTGTCGTGTCGGTTTTGCAAGTAATGAGAGTACAATAAAATGTTGCAAAGATAGTGATGTTAATCGATAGAAAAACTTTAGCCGGTTAAGCCGATAAATTTCTTAGCCAGATAACATTACTATTGAAAGAATCACAAATTTAATAAATTATATATACTAATAATACACATAACTAATAAGAACCGACAGGACCGTCGTGACCTTTGATAGTACTAGAGTAAAATGTATTGATTTTTAATTGCAAATTATTAATTATTTGATGTGCATCCAATCCTTGTTTTGCTTTACAATATTGAGATTATACATAAAGTCGAAATTAAAACCCAAAAGTCTAAATATTTCGACCTGAGAGGTCAAAAGTCGAATTAAAAGTTGAAATGGTCGAAATTACATCATACAGCAGGCACATGCAGAAAAATTAATCAAAAGCTTCAAATTGTCACAACTCGGTCAATACCTGGCTGTTTTGGATAAAATAACTATCATTCGAATTTCTCTCGATGGGGTGAGTCTAATGATATGTAATTCATAAAATCTGGATCACTGATTATTGAGATATTTTGGTTTAACGCACATCTTACAATAACTCGCCATTTATTGATGATGCAAAGATTAAAATACCATTATTCGAATCCTCTTTATAAGACTATTCTAATGAGTCGTGTTTCATTAAATTTGGATCACTGGTTCTCAAGATAATTGATTTTATTATAATAAATCATGTGATAATTTTGATTAAATTGTTTTTCGCCGCAGAAATTCATCGTTTCTCTCTTTTACTATACATACATCTAATCTTTTAATTGCTTATACACCCCAGTGTAACATGTCGCGTTTCCAATCAAATTTTTAATTTTGGAGATAGTTTCTAAATTTTTATATAGTTACATGGATCTCAAAAATGATGAATAAAAAGTTCCGCAGTAGATAAAATGTAAAAATTAGTTTTATAAATAAATATAGAATTTTTGATTATTCCAGTCAGAATTATTACCAAATATGGAATTTCCAAATACTGTAAGGATAGACAATCTAGAAATCTTTAGAAAAAAAAC